CTATAATAAATATATACCCTATATCATTAATAAATTATTATTTTATTTAAAAAATACTAAATACAATTAAATTTTTCAAGCAAATTTGCCTGGAATACAATTTAAAAGATAATTATATATACTATTTAGGGATTATATACATATACCCACAGGTATACATACCCACATCACATGCATACTGTATTATTATGTAATTTAACCACACGTGATGATTGATGAAAATAAGCTTCATTTTGGTGTAACGTTATATGATCAGAAAATTCAAAACAAAACGTTCATTTTGTCAAAAATCGATTATAACTCAAAATCTGCATAGGAAATCACTTCTTGCACATTAGAAAAAAGTTTTTCTTGAACGAATTTAGTGATAAAACTTTTAACTTTAATACTAAAAAATAGGCTCTAACCATAACATAAACGAATTTAAAAAATTTTGTTAAGTATCACATAATCACGATGCTGTGTAAGACAATCTATTATAGGGTTTCCGGCGATATATCTGATATATTATACTTATCCCACTAAACTAAGATAAAGAAGCAAAATTAAATAGAGAAAGTGAAAAAAACTCATACAGGTTAAAAAGGATAAATTGGGATAGTAGTAAATAGATAAATGCTTTATTAAATAAATTCATGCATATGCAAACAACAGTATATATATTTGAGCTCTTCGCTCATATTAAAGATTAAGTTTTGTGCTTTGCAATAAAACCGTCATGTAAATCTTACAATCGGCTCTATATAAAGTAAATCTAAAGTATCCTACAACGCTATAGATAAATAAACTATTATATTGCTGCATTATCCGGTTCATTATTAAGTGTAATAGTGGTAAACAATCGTTTAACCATCAATAGCTGTATTTCTGCTTAGACCCCATTACAGCATATTTGTAAACTATCCTAAAATTTGAAAAAGTTTGACTACTGATAGTAAGTCATTTGAATATGACTTCATGAATATATATCGATATGAGTTAATTATTCATGAAATACTACTGCACCCCAAATCTCATTTTCCAACTATTCAACTCATCTTTCTACTATATTTGTTTAATTATCTTAATTCCACAAATGCACCATAATGCAACAAAAGCCATGGTTAAAGAAATAAGCTATAGATTATCTCACCCAGTGTTTCCGGCCATTCAATGTACTGAATTGGTCGTGGTTTAGGGATAAAAGAAAGTTTAGTTAGAGGCAGTAATAGAAAAAAAAAAGAACAGACCAAACCAAAAGATACTTATCCGAAAAACCAACCCAAATCTAATCGCTTCTTTCATCTAAGCTAAACGTTGGTTCAGGAACGTATCGAATTGGAAGTTATTGTTATAGCCATTAGAGCCACCGCTGTCACGATAAAACACTAATACCAACCTAACTATCCTAATGAAGTAAAACCAATGGCAGAACTACCGGCAACAAAGGCTATAATAAACGTGAAAAGTGACAACTACAAAACCTCACGCAAACAAAGCTAGCATCAGTGGATGCATTCACAAATGTGTAAGACAAAGAAGTTATATAGCTTATAAGAAAAACCAACCTAACGCACTTAACAACATCACCAGAAGTGATGGCACCAAAATGACGACTCCAATAATGGAATTACTTGCAAATAGAAAAAGGAAAAAGGTTAACATCTGAACAGCTAAGAACAATTATTTGAGTGAAGCCAAACACAACTATACAAAACATACCAAAATTGCCAAAATCACGATAACACACTCCAATAATGCCAACTGTAGTAATGATGAACGATTTTGATAGAGACGTGCTACAGAACCACGAAGGCAAAATAAAATTGACATACCCAGAAGCGATAACGCCAAAATGACAATACAGTGATGAAATTACCTGTGTCTAAAAAAAAAAAAGCATTAGTTCGCCAAAGCAAAATAAAAAAAAAATAAACTAATTATTACCTCTGATCTGTTTATATATCCTGTGATTAACCTATATTATACGGGATCGTGAGTACAAAAAATTTTAATATACTCTATAGGTATATCTATATTAATTCTTTTTTAAAAAAATTTCAATTTTAAAAATTTTTTTCTTTTTTTTTAGTTTTGCTTAATAAAAATTTAAGATTTAACCCCCTATTACCTTAATACAAAGTTGTAGAAAATTTAAAATTAAATTATTTTGATTATTATTATTATTATTACAATTTATTAAATAAAATCCCAACTTTATTTAGTAATAATTAAAAAATTTCTCTTCAAAAATATATAAACTTTTAAGAAACTTTTTAAAATTTTAATAGTAAAATTAAAAAATAAGTTTTATTAAAAATATAATATCTTTATCAAAATTAAAGATAGAATGTTAAAATTTAAAGATATTATTTATAAAAGAAATATCTTTAATTTTATTTAATAAAAAAAGAATCAAGCTTAAACAAATTTTAAGAAAATTTAAAAAAACTTTCTAAAAATTATTTAAGCAAACAAATTTGTCTACTAGATAGTTTAAGAGATAATTAATATACAGTATATATCTACCAATTAGCGTAATGGGCCTTAAATATATATTCGAAAATTTTATAATTAAATTATTTGATTGGTTAATCATAAAAATTGTTCTTGAAAAATTAGCATATTATATCTTTTTAAACTGATGATATGGTAGTCAGAACGAAGATTAGAACAGAATATAATATATATAGTAGTTAAAACAGAATACAATATAGTATTAGATTTAGATATAGTATAGTAAATGTAGCATAATATGATAGTTATAACTAGACTTAGCACAATAGTAAAATATAGCAAAGTAGATTAAATTGGTTGTAGTAAGTTAACTAGACAAACACAATAGTTTGATTCTAAATATAGTAATTAATTTTTAGACTTAGTACAATAGTTTAATTTAGATATAACAGTAATTTTAAATAGATATAGTATAGTAATTTGAACTGAATATAGCATAGTAATTAAATTCTAAATATAGCATGATAGTTTGAACTAGTATATAGTACAGAAGTTTGATTCTTAATATGATATGATAAATATAGTATATTAGTTTGATTTGGAATATAGCACAGTAGCTTGTACTAGAATATAATATAGCTAAAACATAGTATAATAGTTTGAACAGGATATAGCAGTAGTTTAAACTAAATGTATAATACTGTGATAGTTAGATTTTGGAATATAACATAATAGTTTGAACTGGGTATAATACATAGTACAGATACTTGATTCTAAACTTATTATAGTAGATAGTACAGTAGTTTAAAATATAGTATGATGATTTGAACTAGAATATAGTATACAGTAATTTGAAATAGATATAGTATTGTAATTTGAACTAAACACAGTATGGTAATTAAATTCTGGATATAATATAGTAGTTTGAACTAGATGCTAGATATAGCATAATATTTTGATTCTAAATATAATATAATAGCTCTATAAAAAATTTTATTCAAATATTTTCTATATTTTTTATGAAAACTTTGTGAATCTGCAATATAATATATAAAATCGAATAATTTCTATAATTTAAAGTTATAAATTCTATAAATATATAATATTTACAGAAAAAACAAAATATAGAGTAGTTGAACTAGAATATAGTATAGCAGTTTGAACTAGAACATAGTATGATAGTTTGAAATAAACATAGTATAGTAATTTAAACTGGGCATAGTATAATAGATTTAGAATATTATATGGTAGTTATATTCAAAACAAAGCATAGTATTTAGATATAGAATATAGCACAATAGTTAGATTCAGAACATAGTATGGTAATTTAATTTAAAATATATATAGCAAATAATTAAACTCTAAATATAGCATGCTATATAGATTTTGGATAGCATGATAACTAAATTTAAAATATGGGGTCTTTCACATTAAAAGGGCCCATTTTGCAAATTTTTTGAAAAATGAGTTTTTATTAGATTCATATAAA